ATTAAACAACAGGGTATTTTAAGCTCTCTAGCCTTGGTTGACAGTCAGTCCAGGAGAACGATTATGGAGCCAACGGGAAGCCACTCCCATGTTTCATCCAAGATGACGTGACAATTCAAAAATATTCTTCTTCTATGTATCGTGTCCCTTCAGGACGTTGGCGATTATCGCTCTCCATAATTTGCTGTCCTTTTGTAGGAGATATTGTAGATAATATATTTTGTCTTCTTTTTTTTTATCTTTCTTAAACTCTGTTCTGTCATCCATTTACTCAAGCTCGCTAGGTAGGTATTGCGATTATTTCCTATCACCCTCTTAACTTCCTGTGAGTATCGATTTATCCAAGTTCTTTTTCTTCATTAAACGAAAATTGAGTATGTGGAGAGCCATGACCACTTACTTCCTGGTGGAATATGGAATAAAAAGACTTAGAAGAAAATGTTTAAATACGAAATATAAGCAAAGCGGTCATGTTATTTTGCATATAGATGTTTGTTTTGAAATAAAGAAAAAACAAAGAAAAGTGCATAAAAAATAGAAAAAAAAAGGGAATGAAAGCTATAATTTAAAAACAAGGAAAATAATATGTAAGCGAAGAAAGTAGTAAAAATGTATACAGGGGGAGAAGTATGAAGAAAGCGTATAGAGAGGGAAATACAGAAGAATAGATGCATGAAGAATGAGAGTGAGAAAGAGAGAGGGAGAGAGAGAGAGAGAAAACAAACAGAAATTGTGTATTAAGAGAAAGGAGTATATATTCGTAGACAGAGAAAGAGAGGAAAACGGTTAGTATAGAAAGAAAGAAATAGAAAGACAGACGATTAAATGTGTAGAAAAAGAGAAAGAGCAAAAATCTGAACAATGTGTAGGGACAGAAATATATACATGAGTGTATAGAGAAAAAAAACGCTAATTAAGAGCAAACTTACGAGAATCAAATAGAACAAAAGTAAGAGATAAGTGTAGAATAACAGATAAATATCGAAAATCTGTAAGAAAATTAACCAAAAAAGGAATAGGTAAGCTCCATAGTTTTGTCTCTCGAAGACAAAACACCCAGAAACAGTGAATGAAGAAGCCGATAAAGAGGTAACTCCTTCTTATTGACTCTTTTGCTACAACCATTCCTTCCACGTTCCTCTCCATTTTTCCCTACTCTTAACCCACCACTGCCATACCTTCTTCTCCTAACTACCCCTGCGGACGTCCAGGTGCCGGTCACGGGCTCACCAACTATTGAAGCGCAACGATGCGTATTCACCCATCAAAGCTGGACAAGACTAGAGAAAAGGGCAAGTAACAGGCACGTATTTGGCTGTTAATTGAAAAATCTGTGCGCCATTGTTCGCCGCTATTGTTTTGTAATGGGCGGGGAAAAAAGGCGTTAGGAGGACCGGTGGGATACGGGAGGCGGAGGTGACGTTGGAAGTGGGGGAGGTTGCTGTGCAGTGGGGAAGTAAGAAAAGGTTACTAAAATGGCGGAATCGGAATCGAATAGATTTTTGTCATTAATATGCGAATGAATATGTATGACTACAAATGAACTTACCCGTCTTTATAAGTATGAACAGTACGTTTGTTTTCACGCACGCGCACACGCATATATTTAAACACACACGCACGCGCAAACGCGCACACTCTCTCTCTCTCTCTCTCACACACACACACATATATATATATATATATATATATATATATATATATATATATATATAAAGTTGTATGGATATGAGTTTGTAACCCTGGATTTCACGCTTTTGCGATCATCAAACAAGCTCATGCAAACTCAGAGTTTGTCTGATGATCGCAAAAGCGTGAAGCCCAGCCTTCCGGTGTCTGATTTTTAATTTTAGGTCAACGAATCGTTGGTGATTTATTTATCTGTATCTCACTCATTTAAAGCTTTATTTAATTTCTCTCTTTAAAATTTGATTCCCCACTCCCACCTTAAGGCCTTTCCTTCTTTCTTCCTTTACACCTCTCTCTAGACCTTTCATACATTTCCCTCTCACCCTTGTTTCTCTCTCCCACACATACACTTTCAATGAAATTATGTTTTTATACCCTGAGTTATGTCTTTTATTTCTTTCTGAATTTGTAGATCTGATGAATTGGAGAGTGATTACGATTCCAATGCAATAAATTAAAACCATGGAATATTAGTGTTTGAGCCTTTTATATTATATTCTCGCTCTATACTGTACATTGAGTTCTACCAGGATTTTATCCTCTAAAAATACCCCCACACATATATATATATATATATATATATATATATATATATATATATATATATATATATATATATTGATATATTAGTATATATATATATATATATATATATATATATATATATATATATATATTATATATTATATATATATATATATATAGATAGATAGATAGATAGATAGATAGATAAATAGAGAGAGAGAGAATATCCCCCAAAGATTACTATAATACTATAAAATAAAAATAAAAATGTTTTAAAATAAAAAGCAATAACAGAAATTTTTAAAAAATCTATAAAATAAGAAAAAACAAAAAAACAATTAAATTGCACATGAAAGGTGAAAAATTAAAATAAAATTTGTTTAATCTTAACTATAACTTTTTGGAACACCATATATAGTGTTGTTATTACTACTAAAACTACTACTACTATTTTATATTCAATGTATTATGGTACTATTGTTGTGTACCAGGTAAAAGACTGTCTGTTCAGAACAATCACCTAAGACAGTCATTTTCGAAGTATTCTTGATGTATCCAACAAGGCAGCTTTTTGTAGCGTTCGCAATGTTTTCTTTAAACCAAGTTGGTCGACATATTCTTTAAACTTCAATGGGATACAGCTAAGTGCAAGTGGGATTACTATTTCTTCTGGCATTATATACAATGTGATAATATCAACCTTCAGCTCAAAGTTGTGGCTTGTCTGTTTTATTTGCTTTACTCTGATATTATTATTACTACTTCTATTATTACTACTAATATTTTTGTTAAATACCAGCGTAAATTCTTCAGTAACCATTTTTATTAACTTCTACTTGATTTCTGAAAAGGTTTTTTTCATCTACATTGAAGTTGTATAAGTACTATCAATATATATATCTACCCATCTCGCTCTCACTCTCTCCCGTCATCTCTCTCTCCCTATATATATATATATATATATATATATATATATATATATTCAGTTTTCTACATGTAGCTTGTGAAAGGACGTGCGATACCCTGCCCTCGTCAGCTGATAACCAGGGAAGGTAATACAGTTTCCGTGGCTAAGGCAGTACTGTTACCACTGGCGCCACAAGAAAGTTTTGTCACTGGACAGACTATTGCTTTTATCTGTAGACGTGTCTGTAATTTTCATGCGACTGTAAGTCAAATTTTTTCAAAGTTGCATTTGCTTTTGCTCGTTAAACAAAAATACAAGGCACGCGCAGTAGCGACCCGCTATCATTGACGTAGACTGGAATGAATATATACATATATATATATATATATATATATATATATATATATATATATATATATATATATATATATGAATGTGATGGTTCAAATATTTATGTATGTTATTTGTTTATGTATGTATGTGTATATGTGATTTTGTGTTTTATGTGTTTTATATATATATATATATATATATATATATATATATATATATATATATATATGTGTGTGTGTATGTATGTATATATATATATATATATATATATATATATATATATATATATATATATATAGAGAGAGAGAGAGAGAGAAAGAGAGATTGGTATATAGATATATATTATAACTTAAGTATTCTTTAACCCTGAGAATTGTTAAATGATAGAAGTTCCAAAAGAACCAAACAGTATTAAAGTAGAATAAGTAGATTTTATGGCTATTTTTATGCTAAACTCCACCCAATAAAAGGACCGAGAACCACTTACGATAAAGGGTTACATTTAATAAAAATCGTAATGCTGAATTAGGTGTGTGATATGAATGCAGGGCGGTGCAAGGGTCTTATGCTCTCCCATGGATCTATGATACGGACCCACACACTCTACTAATTTTCATAAGGTCGTATTCATATAAAATACAAATGTTATTGTAACCCAGTTATTACAATAATGGATCGTATTCAATATATGTAAACAATACAACTAGAAAAACTGAAAATAATTACAATGAATCTAAATACAAATAATAGACATGTCATAATAGATTATTTTATATTTTTTAAATCAACAATTTTTTTTGGCAATTTTTAATATCAATTTGAGATTTTTTCTGTTAAATAGTTGAAGAATTTTAACACATTCAACATTATGGATAAAAAGTAGTCAATTTTATATCGTCTTTATTTAGAGACATGAGCAAAACAAAATCGTGGATTTGAACGAAAAACAAAAGTCACCAGAATGACAAATCCTTTAATAGTCAGTTGTGCTTAGTTTAATTCGTTACGACGTATATAAATGTAGGTAGAAAATGCAAATGTTGATAAGACAGAGAGGGTCACAAAGCACTGCCCGGGACCTCAATCAGGTTTGCCTCTCTGGTGCGATGACCCTGTATGAATGGAAGAGAGGAAGGTTGGTGAGGATAACATGACGTTTGACTTGAAGAGTTCAAGATTGAAGTAAGTGTTCAGGGAAGCATTCCCGTGGCAGTCACTTCCACAAGGTGATACAAGAGAGTGCAACAAGTGCGATCTGAATAGTTATTCAGTGTTTAAGAAAGGCAGTCGCCTCAGTATTCTGCAAACTAATGGATTGATTGATTAATTCGTTTTCTACAACTCATCAACTATTTGCAGTTTATTTAAAGCCAGGAAATATTTTTAGATTGTAAGAATTTTTTTGAGATAATAATGATGGGTGGAGAAGAGGTGGATTCATATGTTTTCCAAGGGTATTTGCATATAAGTAAATATAGTGGCCCCAATTGGGCTCTACAATTTACCATTCCGATCCATTATCTATTTCACCACCTGCACATCCAAGCTTACAACACTTATTATTCTCAAACGGTCATTTATCTAGGCACTGACTAGACTCAACATTGCTTAACTTCGGTGATCGTACGGGAACCAATGTTTCAACATGATGTGGCCGTAAACCAAAAATAAATAAATAAATAAAATAAAAAGCTGGGATATAAGTATTCAAATTAAAAGGTATATGTACAAATGGCCTTAGGAAACAACAAAAAAAAAATAATATTCTCCGACACACTCCTGTTCAAGCAATCACCCTATTCAGGCCAGAATAAAAGAAAACTTGTTAAATCATGGACATCGATGTCCCAATAGACTACACATTAAAATTGTAAGAAATGGAGAGGCTAGACAAATACCTAGACTTTACCGGAGAACTGAAAAAATTGTGGAAAATAAAGGTGACTGTTATACTCATCAATAGCAGAGAACCAGGAACAGTCGCGAAGTTCCATGCAAAGAGGTCGGAAGAATTGGAAATCCGAGGAAGAATCTAAAGCGCTTATATTCGTGAAGTCGAAGTAACAGAGAGGAAAGCTCATCAGAATATTTATCATGAAAATACGTATAGTAAAGAAACGGGGAAGCTAATCCCGATACCTTAACGTGGCTTCCTTTTGCATTTTCAATAAATAGTTTCAAGGTAATTATTCTATCTCTTTGGTATCTCAACTTAAAGAATTGAAGCGCAATACTATATTGGCATCTAGGTCTCATAATATGTTGCTTTTGAAATTGCTATTTGTAACCGTAATTTTTATTCTAATCATTTCTTCTTCTGCCCTTCCTGTCAACGAGGAACTTTAAAGATTTAAATGCAATGTCAGTGGTCATTTTCTGTCTCCTTGAACCTGGTTCTTTCATAGTCCTCTATTTCACTCTTAGTAATCCCTTTATCTTAATGCCCTTTGTTGCCGTGCTTGGTGGGGGGGATTTATTAAAAAATTATTAACATATAAAAGTCAATTAGAATACCGAGGAGAAGGCTGAAATGTTAAAGTGATTTCTTGTCACTCTATATCCACTGATATCGCCTTATTACTGGTATGAAACTCTGATTACTACAAATAAATAATCTGAAAATTCATCATCTGTTTTAACGACAATTTTTTATATGTGGATACATAGTTGCCAATATATCAGACGCAATTATTTTTTCATATGCATTAGTTTATATGGATTTACATTCAGTTTGGTGTAGCTAAATGAATTTATACTACTCGGTAAAAGCCACCTTTAAGAGAAAATAATTGATAATCCCTCATTTACAATGGCCGTTAACTACAGCATCGTAGCAAGTATGGTATTTGTATTTATATAAAGATACTTCTAAACACAATTAAATTTATGTACATTTACATATACATGCATCTAAATAATTTAACATGGTATTCGATCAAAATTGTCATAGTAATTATGAATGAAAAGAATAAGGCTACAGATTTTGACATATTTAACGCAAAGGATTAATCATTTTAGAAACACAGACATACATATAGTAGGACATTTAAACAAACATAAGAACATGTCCATCATTGTCTCGGACCGGGTTAGTGAGATGTGAGTTATGTTAAATATTTTGAAAAATTTTTAAGGGCTGTGGGGATTGACCCACTTGGCAAAATCTGATCAAATGACCAAACATCTGACTTTTAGATTCGATAGCGATGTGGGCGCACTGATCAATACCTATATTCTTCATTATATCTTTGAAATATATGTATCTTTCCTAAATAATTGTTAATTTTACATCAAAATACATCACCTTAACATACTTAAAGTAGAATTAAACATTAGAAGTATATCAAATAATTATTTTGAAATTTAATACACCCGACGGAAAAGGTTCTAAAAAATTATGGGACCAACTCACCTTTTAAAATCTGATCAAATAACAAACATCTGACTTTAGGATTTAGGGCATCTTCTTTGGGCTGAGAACTTTTCAACACACACACACACACACACATAAGTCTACTATATTTACCATTTGTGAAAATCATGGATATATTACAGTAAATATAAAATGAAATCATATAAGACTTTAGTTATGTTTTATCATTAATGATATGCGGGATCCGAGGCATTTATTAACTGTACACACTCACTATTTTTTATAAGAGCTTGCATTTCATCGTTTTGAACTTTTACAGATTCGTTGATAGACTGACTGATTCATCAAGATTAAGAAATTTAAACAGGCATGAACGCCCGACACACGCACAAATGTACATACACAAAAGAATAACATACATTTACATCATTACCAACCCACATATTAATATATGTAAACAGAATTCATTTATATATATATATATATATATATATATATATATATATATATATATATATATATATATATATATATATATAGCTAACTAACTCGCTAGATAGTTGGATTAACAACACAGACACAATCATATTGAGCTGTTTTTTATGCATCTATATGCATATAATTTCTGAAGAAAAATCGATTGTAATGTATATACACGCGGACAAGTGTGTATATACATATGTATGTTTTCATATTTGTTAATGTAAATATTTTAAAGTTCTTGTGTTCTATGCGAGCACGCCATTTCCCATATTCTTCTAATACAGTGGGGGGGGGTGCTATTTTCCCCTTGCATAAAATAATGACATTTTCCATAAACATAAAATAAATATGTGCATATATATATATATATATGCTTATAAATCTGCATATATACGCATGCATCTTAAGTTCATACTTGTTATCGTTTTATGACTACGCACCTTCGTCTCTATCTTTGCAAATCGGTGTCCATTGTTTGCTCCTAATCCGCTAATTGGATGGACTGGAGGTAGAGCGCCATTAGCAATCGCAAGATTGAGTGGGAAACAGAACAGGAACAGGAGCTGGAGGCTTCATTAGGACGATATCGGAGTGAATTAATGGTCTCGGTGATCAAATTTATATGGGGCCCTAATCACTTTGCAACCTTTATTGTTCAGTGGTTACGTGTCTATCAATAACATCGTTCGACGCTTTCGAAACAGGTAAGCCGCTTCGGTTAAACTGCATGACAGTGAAGCTAGGAGTTAGTGCTTACAATTATAGCTCAGTAGGTTAATGTTCGACTACAGATTTTAATTTTCTTAGCCAATACTACGTCACCGGCTCTAATTACTGCGTAAAGTATTTTGGACAGAAATTTAAAGCTAAAAGAGGGAAAATGGAGTAATGATTAAGAATTTAAAAACTAGATGTTTTCTGTCAAAAGTCTTAGGAATCAGGTTTACTAAAATAAAATGGTTGCTCCATTTTTCTTCTTATTTAGATTTAATTGACCCATAGCAGAAAAATATTTTGAAAATCAATATTTAGTGAGAAAGTAATTTGTTAAATGTTATTATTCAGGGAGAAGTCTGTTTTCATTAGAATGTTTATAGCAGTAACTTAACATCTCGAGTTTAAGATCTTTTAAAATATAGGTTCACCTATCACCCGGTTCACACTCCTTCCGCGTCTATTGAACAGAAGTAAATGTTTATCTGTTGCTTCCTGTTTAGGATTGTGTTCCTGGATCCTTCTAGAGTTTTATTATTCTCCTTCACTCCCAGTAACCCATTATATCTTAGTGATATTATCGCCTTACTTGGGGTGAAATGATTATAAAAATAGTCTCGTTAGATCGAAACTTTCAAATGGATATCCTGTATGGCGCCAAACTTGTTCTGAAATGCATAAACTCTCAGCTCTATGCAACCGCTTTTCAGAACAATGAATAAGCATGAATTCGAGCGAATGAGCCATGTAGGTTTGAGTAAGGACCATCCTTAGAACCTTATTGACTGGCTCTAGAGAGTCACAAACAAAAACCTGTATCAAATAATAGACACTACATCACCCGAAGGATTTAAACAGCAACAACAACTAACATTAATAGCACAGGTAATTCGAATAGAAAATAATGACATAAGATGTTAACGTTATACACTATTTCGAACAAAAGATTAAGAAGGGAATCCTCTATCAATACTGAAAATAGTACGGTAAGAATGACTGATCTTGAGAAACATATTTTCCTGAAAATTGTTTTAATAGATTTTTTTTATAAATTTCAACTAGCTGCTGCTCGCTAAATGAATATTGACTGTTTCCATATAAGGAAACGGCTTACTCTCACAATTTCCAAGCGTTTTTATTTTATAATTTTTTCCATTTTTATTATTCTTAAAAACTTTATAATTTTTTCGAAATATTTGTAAAGAAATAAGATATTTGACAATATTTCTGTCCCAAATTCCGGAGTATGTGATGATAAGAGAATAAAAACGTAAATTTTGATAGCAAATGTAATAATATTAAATCGTCCAATAAACAGAATTATTTATAAATAAAACGAAATAAACAAAATGTTGACATTATATATTAATTTGAATAAAAGTTTAGGAAGGAAACCCCATTAAAAACATAATGCCAAGCAAAAACAACATAATGGAAGTGGATGGCATTGTGTTGTTGAGAGTCACACAAATGCAGGAATTCTTAGATAATGTAAAGGAAAGTGATAACTTATTTAACAATATTTCTGTCGTAAATTCTGGAGTGTGTGAAGATAAAAGAATAAAAATGTAAATTTTTATAGTAAATGTAAAATGAGAAAATTGAGTTGGAAAATTTGATACTCACATGACATAATGATGGCAAGAGAGAAAGAGAGAGACAACGAGTGGATTTATTAAGAAGCTTGTATAAATGGCTAGTAGACTATGAGGAAAAGTAAGACGACGAACATTACTTAGATCAATAAAGTCTAGGAAGTTGCGAAGAGCCATAATTGCTTACGTCCTAAAGAGACAGGGAACATAAGAAATCAAACAATATGCAAAATTTATTATGAATTTTGAACAGGAGTAGAGGTTTATCCTTTGTTTCTTGTTTAGAATTAAGTTTCCGGTTCCTTCTAAAGTCTTCTCATTCTCTTTCATTCCCAGTAGCCCCTTGTAACTTTGTGGCGTCTTGGAGGGAATTGATTAAAAAAAATTGACGCAAAATCATTTTCAGACTGTCGTTGTGTATTTAAAAGTAGTTTGAATGATACTCTGTAAAATTATGTCATACATAAGATAAGTATTAGAAATGAACGGAACACTCTACACATTTCTTATTATTCATTTTTGTCAAGTATTTCTTTAACCTTTTCTAACCTAAAGCTTTTAATATCGCGACACTATTCTCGTTATGTACCTTATCGTAGTTCAGAAATAAAAGTAAAGCTATTATCAATTATCTTATTATGTTTATTAATAGTCGAACCTTACTATTAGCTACGAAAACCAGTAAAGAGTAAAAGTATAGTCATATAGCTATGTTATTTGCATGCTTTCATGATAATTTTGGATTTGCAAATAAAAAGACAATGGAAATAAGAATAACCGAAATTAATGACTTCATGTACGAAATACGAACATAATTGTATCTAATGTAACAGGCAAAATATCGGCAAAGAAGTAAATCAATATAGTTATAGTTAAAGGAACGATAATGTTTAATAATTGTCGTCTAAACACTCCAAGAGAAGACATACAAATTCATATATCGTTGGAAATTTTATATAAAATGCAAGCAATATGCATTGATGTATACAAGTAATTTATTTGTTTATGTTTTTGTTGCATCAGGGAAGAACTGTCTTCCTTTTTATGTCATTTTTCTGGTTTATTGTTTTAAAATCTGAATTTACGTTAACCTAACAGAGACCGACAGAGACAGTTTGATCGACAGTAGAGAATCGTTTAAACAGGAACCCGAAGTTATCCAAATAAACATATATAATTTTTGAAAGGTGGTGAATGTTTTTAATTTGAATATTCTTTTGTAACAATTTCTCTCTTGAGTGGTGAGAGATAACGGCAATTTTATTTTTATTACCTGTACAGTCTCTATAACCACTCACCTCTATTCATTTATGCAATTTCAGTGAGGTGACGAGGAAATGAATAGAACACAAAGGTTTAATTCATTCTTTCACAAACACAATCCCAGTCTAGTATTCGAGATTAAGCCATTTTAAAATAAAGCGATTTAATAAGGGTAGTCTAGACTTGGCACAAGGCCGGAAGTATGAAGCATTCAGTGAGGATCGAACTCACTAATCAGTTGCAATTGATCCCGCGAGACAAGCTTGCAAAACATAACATCACGTCAAAGTGGCCCTGATTAAAGAATATATCCGGGTATAGTTTATTCTTGTCCAGAATAACCCACGATTGATTGGAGTTAGCCTGCTTCATATTTCAAGGTATAGTTATTTGCTAAGTGCAGCTTAGATATGGCACAAGACTTAGATTAAGGAGAACCCAGAATGACGTCACTACACAGTTGTAATTGAGCAAGACAAGCTTGCTAACCACTATACCACTTAGAAGTGCCACGCATTACAAAGGGCATGGGTTTTCCTTGTTCATAATAGCATGATTAGGGTTAGCGTACTTCATATTTCAGAGTATAATATAGCCTAATCTAAACTATAAATTATACTGACCGGATTATAGTCATTTTGTTATTAGTATTAGCAACCTTTTTAGGTCTAACTATAATATTATGTGCTGACTCCAGTCTACAAACAAGTAATACTGAGAGAAACTCATTCAACAATAGTCAAGTATCTATTTTTAGAAAGAACTAATATTATTAAATTAATCCATCTATTGGCTAAAAGTAATCACGGTGCTCTAGAGTGTACACGGTATTTATCCGAGACCTTCCTACAAGGCAAGATGTGGCACAAGGCCGGTTTTTAACTTGGGGCTTTCCGAACGCATATACTCGGGCAAAAATTTCTCGTAGATACCACATACATGGGGTCAGGTGGCTGTTTGTTTTTCTCCAGACGAGACTCTGCCCGTAGGCAGAGTTCCTGCACATTTGCGCATAATAAAACCTTATATCTCTTGGTCTTTGAATTACTATCTTTTTTTATATTCTTGCAAGGCACAGTGTCACAAAATGAAAAAAAAATGAGGATAAACAAAATACATCATATTAAATGGGAAAACGAAGAGGTATATTCTGGCCTAGTGAAATATATTTTAACCCAGAACATTTTATTCGCGTGGATATAGCCTACTTTACGTCTTCTTGTTCTTTTGTGTTCCGTTTCCCTTCAGGGCGTAGGAGATCATGGCTCTCCACTTCTTCCCATCCCTCGTAGTTCTCAATAAGTTTTGTCCCTTTACTACCTTTCCCAAGCCCTGTTTTGTCATCCATTTGCTTAATCCCGCTAGGTATGTCACGCATTGCTTCCCTTTGTCTCTCTTTCCCTCTATTCACCCTGTGAGTATCAGATTCTCATAGGCCTCCTTTCTCATTATTTGTCCCAGAAATTTCTTCTTGATTTTAACGATGTTCCTCCTTGTTTGCATCCTCTCCAAAACCTCATCGTTGCTCATACGCTTGGTCCATGATATCCTTATCATCCTTCTGTAGAACCACACTTCCGTTGCCTCGAGTCTCATCTTCATCTTTGAGGAACGAGCCCTGAAATTCATTAGGGTTGTAGAGACATGACATCTACTGCAGCCATAGCAGTCGTGGTGTCTATGACAAGATAATCTGACGGGACCCATTCCTCGTCAGAGTTTTTCTTTTCTTAGACTGGTAGGCACCTCCAGGTAAAATGCCCAGTTAGATCCGCCGTTTAATCCATAACTAGCAGGAGAGTAGAGAAGAGATGAATACATAATTTCAGGATTTTTTGTATGAAAGAGAACGTAACGAGATCGATAAGAGTTCGAACTCAGTTTGCCGAATTAGTTTCCAGACTCGTTAACTGTTAAACTACCCACAAATCCAGCCTAACCTATATCTCAGATTAGCCTAGGCATGATCTAGACTTGAGATATATTTTTAGCTGTTGCACCGAGTGGATTGAACTCACAATTTGAGTGTCGTGTGGGAATAAATAAAAGATCTTTCAAAGTGAGCATTTATTCTCAAATTCTATCGAAATTGTGCTCTCTCATTTGTCATATTCACAGCCGATATATTTACACGCCAAAGGCACAGCGTTTAGCGCTAGCAAATTAATTATCAATTATTACAAAATATTATATTTCATATTGATGACTATGTTTCGTCGCATAACGTGTAAAGTCTTCTACACAGAAAGGAAATATAGCAAGCACTGATGTGTGAGAAAATCTAATACATTTAGACTTACACAGAAGTTTCGTCGGGACCAATTATCTTCTCGGCTCCATACTGTGCCGACGGTCATTAAATTGTTCTCCTCGTACGCGTATTGCTTCATTTAGCGCCAAAATAAAGTAGCCTCACCTTCCATGGCACAGCACGACAGTTTCTCCTAATCTTGATTGTCTCATTATTTTCAATGCAGCAGACGTGATAATCACGAGCATGATTATCCTCTCTATTGTGATATTTATTTCGGATACGGTTCTTACTATAGTCCGCATTTTAATAGGATCTTTATTACCCTTTATCTATATACAGAGATATTTCTTCAAATATTATTTAAATTTATATTCTGAACGTTGTTTTTAAAATGATTACGTTCCTGTTGGTAACATTCCCGGTATGTTTTACCCGGTCCTCTTTAAGATGATTTTAATAAGTCAGTCAGTTAATCTGTTTTTCTTTTTTTCTTCTAACTTTTAAATGTTCTTGTCCCAATTATTACGTCCTTGCTGGAACCAACCCCGCGTGTAAATTTCATCTGGTAGTCTTCAAGACGATTTCTTTCTTTCTTTCTTTCTTTCTTTCTTTCTTTCTTTCTTCTGCTTGCTTTTAAACGTACTCGTCCCAATTATAACGCTCTCGCTGGTACCACTATCATGTGTCAGTTTCATCGAGTCATCATCAAAAGGATTTCTTTCTTTCTTTCTTTCTTTCTTATTTACTAACTTTCGCCATTAAAAAAAAACTTAGTAAAATAAAAAAAAAATAGTTTCAATCTTCTTTATGCTGACTTGATTCGACATGCGCAAGAACAAGCTGGTGTATATTTTGAGAGTCAAGTTTAATGTTTTTTCGAGTAGTGTGACCTTAGCTATTGCGATGCAAGACTAATTAGCCTCTTCATCTTGTATACGGTTAGCATTATCTATCAATCGGTAAATTACTAGTCTCTTTGTTTAGCATTATACAACATCTTTTCAGATTAAATGGCTTTTGGTAATAATAGCAGCATAAAAAGTAACTCTATATGCATAACAAAACGAGCAAAATTCAGCCCCCCCAGTGAAACGGAAATAAATCGTCCAAGCGAACACAACAATAACAATCAATGAATAATATTGAATAAAATTTTCATATTATTTTTCTCTTCCCAAACGTGTTTACTTTTTTTTGTTTTTTTTCCTTTTGCGAATGAGTCGATAGAATCGGTCATGTCTAAAATCTTTCCGTTGAGGTGAGAATCTCCAGTAGATAAAGATGTACAACAAAGGTCATTGGACAGCAGGTTTAAACTTCAATAGAGTTATGTGATGAGGAATAACTTACCATTAATATATAATTGACGTTTTATTTCTCAGTGTCAAGCATTTACTAATCCTGCCAAGAATAGATAATTAGACTGAGCAAAGAACTGGAAATTATTTAAGTTTTGTAAAATTAAGGTAATAGATAATCAGCTACATATCTGCGTTATAATCCAATTCTTCTATCTCTCTATCTATCTATCTATCTATCTATCTATCTATCTATGAGTGTTCGTAGGATGTATAATAGTATCCGAAATAAAAGTGATGATGACGAGACAAAGTGGAAAAGTAATAAACGACTCGTTTTGCTGGGAGCGTCTGTATTCTCTAGCTTCTCCAGATTACAGTGAAAGAAAGACAAAACAAAAAAAAATGCGTTAGGGTCTGTGAGAATAAGTGTAGAACACTAGTCAAATTGATTTGGCCAGAACCTAGAAAGTGTCTGTTTGCCTGTTTGTTTATATCCATATCTATATTTATGTCTATTTTAGTGAATTTTTAAAATCCAGCAGACACTAAACGATATATATATATATATATATATATATATATATATATATATATATATATATATATATAAGAATAAAGAAATAATTGGAGAATATATGTTGATTAGAAAATCCAGCTCATCTGACATAAAGAACTAAGGCAGCCTAGTTGAAAAAACTTAGGGAAATGAACATGACCGACAAACGCATGGTATCACTCTATACCAATGTCCCAGTCGAAAAATGGCTAAATCTTCTAAAAAACATCTAATACAAAGATAAATCTCTCTCTACCAAGAGCTAAAATAATAAAAATCTGCCGTCTCCCCAACAATCAATGCTACTTCTCATTCAATAATAATTGTTACAAAAAAAATTGGATTACCAATGGCATGTATCTTCTTAAAATTTCTCGAATCTGGTTCTTTCCAAAATATTTTACCCAAACAATCAACATACATACGTTAACTGATGATGATGTACATATGTATTCTCGTAATACTAATTTACCTGACCTAGTAGATCAACTAAAAAAAGTCGAACACACAATAGAGTTTACATGTTAAATGGAAAAATACAATTCCTTTCCCTTAACTCAACATAAACGTCGTCACCACTACATCCAAAACAATGAAAGACTTAGTCAATACTAAACAAAACAATATGGTAAAACCTGAAGTTTACACAATCGTCTGTAATATTTGTGACAAAAATGCATAGGAGAAACCTCAAAGAACCTAAAAGCTAAAGCTAAAGATTATATAAACACAAAAGGGAGACTGTACAAAATAATACATCAAATGTATTGGTTGCCAACCGTAATGGGACAGACCACAACTTTGACATAAAAAATGCTACCATGATAAAAGGAGAAAATAATTTATTATGATGTAAATGTCTAGAGAGTGCCTTAATCGCAAAGTCATTTACAGTAATTTTGTGCCATGGCTCTTATATTTCACCATTCCTGTCAGATCTTCTAATATCACAGTGTGGAATACATACTTACAAAACTGATGGAAAGAACAAGAAAAAGATTTTAAATGAATTCCACTGAAAGAAAAATTGTAAAATTCACAGCATCCCTCTGCTGTGCGCATGTGTAGTCCTACGAACATAACAAAATTAGTCAGATGAAGTCCTGAAGGACGAAACTCTTCACAAGTGAATTATTTCCACTTTGTTATATATATATATATATATATATATATATATATATATATATTCAGAGAAAGAGAGAGAAAGTCTAAAATGAGGATTAACAAAAAGAGGGCACCTAATATTTAATATAGTGATATTTATTTATAATATATGAATTTTTACAGAGAATTAAAACTTTGTTACTTACAATTGGTTTTCAGTGTTTTTTCTTAGAAAAATAATTTGTTGTTTTCCTTTTTTTTAACTTTTTTTTATTTAACCCGTTTCGCTTTGCTTTTCAAAAAGTTTTTGTTTGTCTCCACGTATTGATGCTTATATTTTGTACCAATAAAAAAAAATAATGAAATCAAGGGGTGTAATTGGCTTATATGTCTTGTATGGTAAGAGGAATTGGGTAGAATGTATTTATACAATTAATTAAGTATAGGTTTGAACTTGTTGATGAAAAATGTTTCCTTATTAATCCGTTCCACTTTGTTCAGTGGTTATGTAGTTGCACTGGTAGAATATATATAGGACATTGTGCAAAGAGAGAGACCAAATTCTTGTTTTAAAATTAAAAGTCTTTAATCTCAGTATAATATATTTCTACGCCGGCATTATGATAACCATATATATATTTGTTAAATTTAAGCGGAATTTGTATATATATATATATGTGTAAAAAAAATAATTTTGGAGAGTTGTGAATATTCATTTTTTTTTTCACTATTAAAAGGAGATTCCTTATACATATATATATATATATATATATATATATATATATATATGAACAAAAGAAACCCTAATCTACCCAATTTACAGTAATTTATATTAAAAATTAATCTGGATTAGCGTACTTAAGCAAAATATTTACTTACATTATTTACATTATTCGGAGTGTTATCCTTCTCTTCACTGCCATATTTACAACGTTTCGGCCGTTGTACGCTCCGGCCCCCTTCAGGTGATTGGAATTTCGAACCAAACCCTTTATTTCGTCCACTGGGGTAAATTGTTCTAGATCCATGTGCCGTGCCTCTTCCGGATGTTTTAGTTATTTCCCTTTCACTCAACTCTCCAAGTTTTGGTTCACCAACTCTTTGGGTGTAGTCACGGTATCTAACCAATGACTTTATCCAGTATGTCCTTGAGGACATCTGTGTTTGAATTTCTGGGACCTATATATCTAATGACTCAGCAACCATTTTTAACAGTACTCATATTGCAATTTTTCTGTTATTATTAATCCATGTTTTTACCAGAGATTATATTGCAATTTTTTTTGTTGTTCTTGTTATTCATTGCTTCTCTTCACCACTCTTTATTACTAGTTCCCATATTATATTCATTTCTATGCTTTGTCATCTCAGGAGATTTTTGTGGCCTAGCATATGTGCTGATTCTTTAAATTCTCGTATTTTCCAGTGATGTACTCTGTCTATTATTTCAGCAATAATTTAGATACATAGCCTAGTGGATAAAGGCGTTTGTTAGATGCAGTGATTAGTCTCAAAAGTTGTAAGTTCAATACCAGGCTACAGCAGTGGTGATCAAAAACTTGGAGAATTGAGTGAAAGGGAAATAACTGAGACATACGAAAGAGGAATGGCACGCGAAACTAGAACCAGACCAATCAATTTCGGTTCGAAATTCTAATCACCTGAAGAATGCCGGGGCGTAAAACGGCCTAAACCTTGTGAAGATGAGTATAACAGTCCGAATAATGTAAGTAATCATAATATCTCATCTCAGAGATATAGGTTGATTTTGAAATAAATATTTCTTTTTATACCTACATGTAATTCATGTCTCTGGCATAATAAGCCAGGGTTATTTAAGTGTCTTAATATAACCAATTTTTACAGAAGATATAAGTTACATTTATTTCCTTTTCCGTTATAAGATTTGGCTCTTGTTATAATATCCCAGTTGATTGATGGTGAGATGCCATCATTTTTTAATTGCCAGAAATATTTGGAGAGAGCAGTGCAATTTTTGTATATTATATTACCTAAGGTCATTCGATGATGGTAAAACTAAATTTCCAAAGATTTTCAGTGCAACCAAAATAAAAGTCAACATTGTTACCGGGATGTATGTTCGTTCAGTATACAATGCTATCAGTCATACATTGACCGTTTAAGGGAGAAATAATATCTTTTCGGTAGTTACATTTGTTTTTTTAACAATATTTACGTTATCTTTGTTGAAAATATGTTTAATATCATGTTGTTATGCTGGGATATGATTTTATTTATATTTTTAACGCAGCTATAGCTGATTTTAATATTATTTTTTATTAAAAATCTTTTTTTTTTTAGTGTTGGTTTTTATGCTTATAGAATAAATTTAGGAAAATTCTTCCGATATTAGTTCGAACATTACGATTAAAAGATGGATCGAGCCATATAATTTTACGCTTACGGTGTATCTGTTTGTTTTTACCGTCTTTGTTTTTTACTAAATACTTTAAATTTACTTTATGATTGCTTAGTTTTAAAGCCTTTATATATTCAATTTTATTATTATCACATATTTCCTTGTAGTTGGTAGATAATATAACTTGAACTGGTGGTGGTGGTGGTGGTGGTTTGATTCTTTACTAACGTATATATGGTTATATAGCTCTTTGGATTTTTTGGTTTGTAATAACCATTATTCAAGTCTACGGTCAGATCAAGAATGTTGATCACTTTAGCATTGGTGATAGTGTTAATATTTAATTCGTGATCTTTCTCAGTTTCTTTCTCAATCGGTGTATGTTTCGTGGGCTTGTTTTACAGAGGAGAATTACACATAGCGTCCGGGTGTCCTTAATGTCGAACAGTCTACAGAATAATAAGATACCAACTAATTCGCATGCCTCTGCTGAATCAAATGTTCCCAATGCAAAATTAAATAATGGAAAAATTAATATTCACAACTTAAAAAACATTTGTTTTTATTCTTACAAATATATATACAAATCCCATTTATTTTAAATTCCAAATACATTTTTTAATTAAAAAAAACTGTAGTACAATTTATATCTACACCAACATTACGATAAAAAGATATATTTTAAAAAAAAATGTGTATTGGAAAGTCTATACTCAGCACCTGAAGGTTACGTTGTGCCTGAAACTCCGAATCGTGCTATCGGTGAGGGATAATATGTATATTTATTAATATATAATAGCTCTGTTGTATCATATCGAGTACTGTTTTATTGTCACCAGAACAATTCTTTGTGTGCGTAGTTGTATCTGCGCATGCTTGCGGGTGCTTTAACATCTGAACATGTGCACATATGCTGGTGTACTGGTTATTTTCTTCTTTTCATAAATTTCTTGTTTCCTTATACTCTCTCATTTTAACCTTTATCTATTTTCTATATTTTAACTATGAACAACGCTAAGTGATGTAATTTAATTTACAAATATTTTTACTTATATCTAAATTTGCACACACACACACACACACACACACACACACACACACACACATATATATATATATATATATATTATATATATAAAAAATTATTATTTATTTTTTAATCCAATATTTTTATTACTACAAAAGCTCTTTTGCCAAATAGTTGTATTTGAAATAGA